TTATTACCTTCTCGGCTCTGAAGCCTTTAATTAGAACCGGAATCCATTGTGTTGGGTTTGGGTTTGGCTTTGGAAAGTTCCCTCAAGAGGACAATACCTTTATTTCTCAATACTCACGTGATGTCGGACCTGAAAATCTACCTTTAAATGGCGGTTGGGGATAAAGATCATGTTGCTCAGTCCAAGTTTCCCCCTGGATGAAAAGCTGCCGTTAGACAGAAAGAAAGGAATAACGTGTCTTCACTGTCAGACAGTCCCAGTGGCTTCAAGAATCACATTTTAACCATTTAATTTAACAGTCTCACGGTTATTGATGAGATTATTAAACTTTTACAGCAGGAGCTGATCGATCAATAAGGACTGGCTCAAAATAGTCAAATGACAGATGCAGTTGGACGATTGTGTAAAAATTCGTATTTTATTTTAATCTTATTTTTGAAATATGATAAACTATTATGTCATATGTTTCATTATAAATCCAGTTTGATGATTTGTGTGTTCATATATAATATATTGTAAAGGTGTTGGGGGTTAAGAAAATGCACCATGAAAGAATATGTATGTATTATTATTACTATTATTATTAGCAATAATAATATTGGTGTGATTTCAATGTGTCACAGTGTGAATTGTAAAATGAAAAAGGAGTTTTATTGCATCAGTAAAGAAGTGAGAGCTCAACAGCATTAATGGAAGTGGACGGAGTTTGAGGATTTATAGATTCAACTCCACAGACAGACTGTCCCTGTCCCTGTCCCTCCACCAGGCAGGTCAAGTTCATGTCCAACGTGTTTGACAAAAACCAAACTGGCTGCAAACATCCATCCATCATCTTTTCCTTTAAGTGTTAGAATCATTCACTCAGAGTCTCTAATCAACGTAACCCCACGTCTTCATGTCTTCATGTCCCACTCAAACACGGGGAGAACATGCAACACATGCACACGGAGTATTGGTTCGAGTCCCGACGTAGAAAGGCCTTGTTGCTGTGAGGCGACAGTGCTAACCACTGCACCACTGTGCCACCCTGATGTCCAAAGAGTGCTGTGCAGGAAAACCTCAAATGTTAATAGAAGTTGTAAAACACATGCAATTGGCACAATAAAAAACTGACCATCTTATTTTCTGGACTGGGCCCAAACCCTGAAGGAGCTGCAGCTAAAAACTGACAGTGTTTGGCTCTTGGAAATTTCCAGCCGAAGTGAACTCTGCTCCAGTAAACTGCACTACATCTCTGGGCACCAAAATTCCTTAGTACAAGCCTGGACAGGAGCTTTACTGTAAAAGCGGAGCATAGATAAAAAAAATGAAATAACGAAACTTACTGCCTTGCATGCACACTTCCCTGTGCACACTCTGCAGCCTTTACTCGTTGCGTCTTTAATATGTAAGCTGGTGTTTTTACGTCAGCCTGCAGAAAACAATGATGTGGGTTCACTGCTCCAGTGTTTAGTTCCTCTAGAGTTGTAACTCACTGAGTCAGGAATAAGAGGAAACATTTCCAAAGAATAAGAGAGTTTCAGACAATATTCTTTAGAAAAAACGCAAAGAAAAACCACAATACACCAAGATAGAGGAAATAAAAAAAAGCACATTTTGCACATATAATCTATCATATTAACTTTTTTTATCTAATCTGAATAAAATGAAAGATTCACAGTCGCGGAAAAGGACCAGATATGATCTCATCTGTCAGATCTTCAGTTAATCCTGCATGCTGTTTGGTTTTCATGTCACCGTGACACAGTTTGTTGTGTCTCCCAGTGTAATCTAAAAATTCCTGAAAGGAACATTTCATCAGGATGAAAGACATGTGCCCCGATCCGACAAACAGGGAACTGTTGAGAAGTGAGTGAAATATTGGTGTTGAACAACGCAGCAGCAGACGGACGGGTGAAGAAGATGAACTGAATGTTATTAAAGCAAAGGCACTGACTTATGTTACTGCTCCAACAGTCCGAACCCCCACGGCCAAAATAAACCTTATGGTATTTCTAACAGCCTCAGGGCTTTGACCCCTTCTCTGCCCAGTAGCATGGATTTCCTCATGTCTCCTTTTTTTCTTTTTTACAGATGTTTTATGTTAAATCTTAACACGTGACGTCCACTCTGCCTTCCTGGAAATTATGTAGTTCTGCAGATGTGTTTAAACTCCAAACCAAGAATGTTTTCATATTCAGACATGTTGTCTCTGCGGTTTTTTGTCAATGAGAACTCTTGCACAACAAATTTCCCTTTTTATGACACAATAAAGATAATAAAGATAATCTATAACACTGATTTAAGTTTTATAAACTTCCTTGGAAACTCTTCTCCCTGAAATAAAATCGTCTGTGCCAGCATCTGATTAAGAACATGGACTTTCTTACAGCTGCAGGTAAATGTCATTTTACATCAGGATGTAGCATCTAGGAAAAATACAAACTATTTGGGTCATATTGTAAAAGAAAGTGAGTTTTTTCTTTGAAATATCAGTTCTTATTTTCTCTTAACTGCAGCTTCCCCTAGAACACAATGCATACTATGTTCTTGTACAGTTTTTTCAAAAAGGGAACACAACATTCAATCTTACTCAGCATCTTAGGATGTGAAATAAAAAAGGAGAAGGTCAGATGGCTTATGTGGACGATGTAGTAAACATTTGTCCTCTTGTTTCCTCATCTCGTTTCCAAAGAAGATGTCAAAAGAGATTGTTAACATCGTTGTCAATGTAAAAGAAAAAGCATGTGATCTCAATAATCAACACAGTGAATCTTGCTTCACCACCGTCTCCTGAAAGCTCCGGACATTTCTGCGAGTCTGAGAACATCACATATTTCTCACTCAACATCCTTCCACCAAGTTTTGAGGAGATCTGTCCAGTAAAGTTTTCGTAATGCTGCTAACAGACATCATCGCTTTGAAACAAATGAGATGATTAGATACTGATACCGATCTTCTGATCTTGCATCGGAAGAAGAAATGAATTAACGTCCTTTCATTCTAAAACGAACTGAAAGACAGGAAATCAGAATTTAACCTCACGCGTCCTGTCGCGCAGCGTCACAAACATTTCTCATCAGTCTTGGCAAGAACTAAACAGTTACGGCTGAAAGGAGTTCCTCTGCTGTTGCTCAACAGCTCCAGATTCCCATCCACTGCTTGAGAGCGTGCACACACAGGCTGAAAGACACACGAAGATGTTCACCACTGACCCATACATTCGAGAGCTGCCTGTACACACACTGATATCAACTGATAAAATGCGGGAAGTGATGTAGATAAAGATTAAATATCAGGGTTAACTGTACAAACTTCAGATTTCTATTGAATTATAGTGTCGTGCCATCCAGCAAGTCATCACATGTTTCGCTGCATCATGACTGATGAAGATGTGCAGAGGTAAGAAGAACGGAGCCCCAGAGGACTAATGATTTCTCTTTATCTCTGAACCGATTTCCATGAAACCTGTTGGAAGGATGTGATTTACGTCCTCACATTGTGGGTGTGGATTACGTTTAGGGGACTAGTATCTATGAGTGAGTGCAAATTGGTGCAAATCCAAATAAAAGTCTGGATCTTGAGAATTTGAATGTGGTTGAACTGTTGCCTCCGTCTATTTAACTTTCTAGTTCGATAAGAAATCCACACTTTGTTTTCTGGTCACTTTCACCCACGAGGACATTTCTGAAAATCTTTGCAGTTGATGGAGGTGAAAAGATTTTGAATAGGGTACGGTACGGAGATACCATACAATACAATGCATTCACATCATGACACGACATGACATGATTGACTCTATGAATCCCGAAGAAAATGTTTTTGCCAGTTTCCTCCAAGATTACAGCAACAACATACAACACAGTACAACGCAATAGAACAATGTGTATGTATGAGACAGGAAACTAATACTAAACTAAAGTAGTGATAAAAATGACACGGATAATAAGTCATATGGAAGTAATGCTGCACATGATATTGAATGTTGACACACATCCACCACCCTGCTCGTGCTTACATGAATGGACTGTGTCACTTTCAAAGTGTGGAAAGTATTTTAAGTTTTTGCCAGATAAAATCGGGCCTCAGGCAACTTCTGACAGGAGAGCGGAGGAGTAAAGAGGCGGCCGCCCGGGGCACCTGTGCCAACGATTTCCAGTCAATGTGCCGATCACACTTTCATTTTCACTCCGACACCAGTATAAATTCACCTGCAGCTCTTCACCTCTCCTCACAGCAGCAGCTTCCCTCACTCCTGAAGAGAAGAGTGGCTGAACCTGAGCTCGCACACCTACGAAGACATGGCCTCTCGACTTGCTGCAGCTCTGCTCCTGCTGGGTGTCATCTGCACCGGCTTTGCAGGAGGTAAGACACAGATGTTAGCTGCTCACCAGATTTTAATTTATCACTGCACGTGCAGATAGACAATATTTGACGATAAAGTCTGATCCGTCAGTGATAAATCCTGTTTCATTTACCCTCTTGTTCTATTTTCCGACAAGTAAAAAATGATTTTGTTTCTCATTCTCCGTGCAGCTGAGGTTGTGGTGGATTGTTGTCTGAGCACCACAGACAAGATTTTCCCGCTGATAAGGATTGAATCCTACGTACTTCAGGAAGCCGGGAATGGTTGTGACATCAGTGCTACTGTGTGAGTATATTTACCAAGTGTTTGCATGTATTCATTATTTAAAGGACAAGTCACAGTACTTTGTTTTTCAATTTCATTTCAGTAATGATTGATTCCATTTTCAGGTTCATTACAAAGAATGAGAAGACCCTGTGCATCATCCACCCCAAAGACTCAAATAAGAAAACCAAATGGGTGAAATCTCACATTGAATATCTGAACAACAGAAGACCACAGAAGTGAAGAGGTAAATTAAAACATTCTTTGCACTGAGCTTTTTAATCTAAACTTTAAAAAACAAAAAGTGCCCAGGGCTTTCTTGCATCTGCTAATGACTCACCGCACATCTGTTTTTGCAGACACACACAGAGAAGTGGACTCTGGGGGAAAGACGGCAACTGAAGACGGACAACAAGATGAATTCCCATCTCTGTTCAGAGCCTCAGAATGTTTTGTCACACTGCCCCAGAGGTTTCTAAACCTCTTAGCTTCTGACCCACAACATAAAGGCGAAGACCATCAACTCCTGTTTTTCTACAGAGGATATTTATTTAAAATTGAATTAGTATTTTTTTTTAACCTTTGTAACAACAACGGCTAGAAAACATTTGTTTGATTTCTGAAAATCTTCTTGCCACCTCTCAGTGTCTCTCGTCCTCTAAGGGGGGTCTCGACCCCTAGTTTGGGAAGCGCTGCACTTGACAGACGATCAGACTTGTCATGAGGAAAAAAATATTCAGTCATATTAATGATGATGTATTGTGTGAACCATCATGACACTGGTTAAAAGTCTACCTGTGTTACTTTACTCTGTAAAACTCATTTCATTCACAGATGAAAGTAGAAAGTTCCATTATTTGCTGTTTGAGAAATAACTTGTACAAAGTGTTGTGATGATTTTTGTTTTGTATTATAATTTTACAATAAAGTTTGATATCGTTCTCTAACGTCTTGTAGACGACTTTCATTGAAACATCATCACCTTGTAGCCAAGCAGCAGATTTGAGCCACTGAGCGTGAAGCATGAATGAAACAGCAGCTGCACTTCAGACTTTAATACAGATTCATTTGACAAAACGAGTCTGGCTCTTAAACTCGAGCCTGAACCACGTGTCAGTAAATGAGTCCCCACATCAAGCTGTTGGTGAAGTACGACACTAGACAGTCAACAGGAAGTTCTTCCGACCTACTGACCTTCGCTTGATGGGAAAGTGTTTCTGAGCTCACAGCTACAAGAGTTTCACTGTTAGATGCCCCCGAATGTTTTCCAGAGCATCCTGTCGAATTCTCCCACATTGCAAGAAGCTTTGTAAGCACGGCCGAAAGCCCCTGCAAGCAAAAGCAAAAGTACTTATGATGAATCATTTTGTTTTCAGTGTTGATATCATTGCAGCTGTTTTTCATTATGACGGCCACACACAGGGAAAAAAGAAATTACAAGAAGCTACAAATCATTTCAGAGAGTAGAGACTACGACGAGCTCGGCCTCTCGCCTGCTTCACAGGTCCAACGTGTCAGATTCAGGTGAAAGCGACTAATGGCAGAAATTTAATGTCGAAGAATCCTCATTGCAATAGTTCGTTTCATATAAATTGTATGAATTGTAGTTTTCTTTACCCCATAAAAGACCCTTTATATTTAAATACTTGTTTGTATTTGTATCCAAATCACTAAGGACAGCGACTCAGTAGCCTACCTGTGTGGCTCTTGTGTCACTGTCCTCAGCTCAGTGCTGAAGCGGACAAAGACGGACATCGTAAGCCGAACTTCATTTATCGCTCTTGACCGTTCAATACACAAAAAGCCTGAAACTGAATTATTTACACAAACAGAAGGAAAACGATCCAAACTTTCTTTTTCAGAACAATAACACGAACAACTTATCTAACCAGAAACAACAGCATAACAACTTATAGACTTACTTCAACTGTAACTCGTTACAGCCGGAGACGGCGGGGTTTCGTGCTGAACGCAGCAGGAATGTCTTTATATTCCAGTGAATCACTTCCTTCCCTGTCAGAAGAACTCCTAGCTTTCCCCGTTATGTGTGTGGCTTGGAAGGTCCGGAGTTTGGGCTGGCTTGCGGGCTCATCTATCGATGACAGGTCAGGTTGTGACAGGTCTTCGGGAACAGTGTTGGTGCTAGGCTGCTGAACCCTGTCTCCCACAACACATAAAACGATATCTTAAGTTACCTCTGCCTGCTGCCAATATTATTTTTCCCTCCAGAAAATGTGCATACAGACAGCCAGACCCTAACGTTAACGTTAACTGTTACTTGCCCTGCTGGTGTGAGGGGGTGGCTACGGGAGGACTTGTTGGGGAGAGGGCGGCCGAGCTGGATGGTAACGTTAACTCGTCGTCACGCTATATGAAAACAAGCTAATTTGCTTTGTTTTGTCGTGTTTTACGTTTCACATTAGCCATCGTCCGTGTCTGTCTCATTCATTGCTTGCTTTGAAAAGCTTGCGCACCCAATGTCTTTCATTTCATTGGATCCCTTGCTGGTGACGATGCAGCCTGTGGGCCGGCTCCACACTCGGGGTAGAAGCCGCTGATTGGTTGAGAAGCTTTCACTCAAAGCTTTCCTCAGGCTGCTTATTGGATGAACAGCTAGAATGAAAACTAATGCCGTGTCCGAGGGTGGGCCCGGGCCTAAAATGGGCGGGCCCAGGCAATAGTAGCGCCGCGGGTGATCCAAATACTGAACTGCTATGACGACCTAATTTCCCTTTGGGGATGAATAAAGTAATCTATCTATCTATCTATCTACTTTATATTTAAATACTTTATATTCAATACTTTATATTTAAATACTTTATATTTATATTGAGGGGACCCTCTCTACGGAGGATGCCATGTTTTTTACATTAGTCCAGACTGAACAAACTAAAACTTTTTGAGTTTTAATGACGACTGAAGCCGCCACAGGTTCTTCTTCATGTTTGGAAGGAGAGGGGGGGTGAGGGGGTGTTCAGCTGCAACATGACACTTCACCACTAGATGTCACTAAACTCTACACACTGAACCTTTAAAAAGAGGAATGTGCAGCATCTTGTTATCTTATTATACTTTAGGATAAGTTTCACAAATAATGAAATGAAACTCCTGCTGCTGCTAACAAACGTAAATAAACATTTGACATGTTTGCACATGATATTCTGATATTCTACCCGAGAGCCGGTGCTCTTTCAAGATACCAAACCCTAAACTCAGGGAACAATAAGCTCATGGTTGTCAGCTCTCAAGCCTGGATTGTGTAACAACATCCTCGTTCCAACACTTGGCTGATTATCACACTTGTATCAGTTACCCTCTGGATTCCTGACAGTTTTTTTTCTCCCTCAGGCAAACACTCTATGTCCATAGACTTTTTATTTTCCTGTAAATGCTTTGCAGGGGAAAATCCAAGAGGGTAAAAATGGGTTAGCCAATCGAGGAAAACATCCAAAGTAGTTTACAAGAAAACGAAACTGACTCTGCACAGGCTCCACAGGCTCTCACTGTATATAAGGGGTCACCAACCCTTTTGAAATTGAGAGCTACTTCTACTATATTATTACTGATGATAAATGAGACTCATCTATGTGAAGACACTGATCACGTTAATGATCCCTCACAATAATTATCAACAATGACTTAACAAGGTGGGAAACAGATGATATCAATATTCAACACTTTATTTCCACTAATCTCAGCAAGTGTTTGAATGTTCAGATGTCGGTGACGCCTGGTCGACAGTGACTGAAATGTAATGTTTGCTCCAGTGATGCAGGAAAGATGGAAGTAAATGTGACAGCGAGCAAATTAAATATTTGTCACTAACTTTATATCAAAATATAACCTCCACGATACAAACACTCTTTATGTTTATGTTGTGGTATCAGTTCCACTTCATTCATCACTTTTTACTCTGATTCATGTGAGAATTCATTAACGTATAGGAAGTGGGTAATAATGCAGAATTCCTGTTTCTGTGCTTTGTGTTTTGTCTCATTTCTAATGAAAGAGCCTGAGAGACAGATTTATGAGAAGCAAGCGTCACCGACAAGTTCCCCGCAGAGTCCAAAGTCTATTTCTTATCTTTACCTTTATCTTTGAATCTGATTCCATTTATCGCCGCTAGCATTTGAGCCTTCAGGCTGCAACTCATTCCAGACGTCTTGGGACATTTTCAAGGGGTGCCATGGAGGCCACCGCAGAGGACAGGTGAAGACGTGGACAACATGGCTCTCGATGGACACTCGGCTGACCAGAGCCTCCAGCTGGATCACGTCCGTCCACACTCACGATTTGTCTTTTCCTTTGTCATGGGTCCTGACCTCTGCCTTGTTCCTGAGCTCACAGGTGATGTGCTGCCTGCTCCTGTGTCAGTGGTGCCGGGGGGGCTCCAGAGTTGACCCTCCCAGCCAATGTCTCGCCCCGATACCGTCCAACATCGCCCCTATACCCCAGTCTGTCCCTGAGTTGGGGGGGGTTGACCATCCCACTCCCACTCCGTCTCCTCTGCAGACGACGGCCGGTCATCTCTGTCAAGTGTCACACCTGATGACAAGCTGAGACTTGACTTGCACGGTGCAACTTATTCACGCATTTGTTCCTCGAACGTACATTTTAATGCTGAATACGACTCACATGCTGTTTTTCTGTGTGTTCAGAGATTAGTGTGTTTGCGACCTGAAGCCGTGTGCCAAACGTTTCCTGTCACCTGTGAGCAGCCAAGCCTGTTTGAGAAGGACCGGGAACAGAGCTGATAAAAGAGGGGGAGGGGAGGGGGGGAGGGGGGGGAGGGGGCGGTCAAGATCTGAGTTTGAGATGATGATGAACTCTGAGTGTTTGTGTGTTAGGGTGTCAGAGGACGGGCCAGTGACATGGAAGTGAAACCAAATGGAGCGTATATAAATAGTAACACACATCTAGTCCTCCAGCTGCTACTGAGGCTAAGAGACGACTTCACCAGCTCAGCAACCAGACATGGCTCCGAGGGGTGATGCTAGACTTTTCTTCTGCTTCTGCATCTTCGTCATCACCTGCTACTGCACAAGTGAGTTTCATTTCTTTTCTTTCTTTTTTTATACACAAACTCTCACAATCTTTTTATCTTCTCATCTCTCCGCAGCGGTGAAATCATTGAGATTTAGAGTTTACACAGTTAACAGGATGTAATTTATCCAAACAAATCCATTCGGCACGGCTCCAAGAGGAAGCAGCTAGTTCCTGACTTTTAGATAGAAGATAGAAGAAACATGTTTTCTATTATTTTTCTATTAGTTTCAAGCAAAGTAAATTAAATGCTTTAATACTGAAATCCATGCGTTCATATCTGATTATTACCTTTCAGTCTGCAGAGCAGAGTAAACACACTGAGGCTGCAGAGTGGAACTGTGGGTGGAGGTTCAAGATTCCTTCAAAAGCTGAATTATAAGATAAATTGATTGATCCACTAGTTACTGCAGCTCGTAAGATATTTTTAACCTTTACAGCAAGAATGAACAACTTTTTTATTTGCTTCGTTGTTTTTTAAATGATGCATTTTAATCCTTAAAAAATTTGAGAAAAACACTGAATAGAAGCTGCCGAGTATATTTGAGTAGGATCTCATTAAAACACACACACACACACACACACACACACAGCTTTGTGTGCTGCTTACAATTAATCTTTCACAGAGCGTGAAGCCAAAATATCTTGAACCACCACAGAGTCCTCCTCTGCGTTCGACAACAGCATGAATGTTGTTGTGGTGGAACGATGACTCGTAATCTAAACCAGTGTGGGATCATTGTCGCCCTGCATCAAACTAATCTCCTCCTCCTTGTGGTTCAGTGACATCAGCACAGGTTCCCATGGACTGCTGCCTGAGCGTCAAGAACAAGATGTTAGAGAGACGAAAGATCGTGGACTACGGTCACCAGACCAGAGGACAGGGCTGCTCTATCGACGCCACCATGTGAGTTCAGTCTGCGTAGTGAATAAGATGTTCAGTGTGTGTGTGTGTGTGTGTGTGGGGGGGGGGGGGGGGGGGGGTGGGGGGGGGGGGGGGGGGGGGGGGTCATCAACCTGACCTAAATGACCTGGTGTCGTTGCAGCCTGGTGACCAGACGTGGCTTGAAGCTCTGCGTGCCCGCTGACGAAGCCTGGGTCCAGGCAGTGATGACCCACGTCGACAGCGTGAAGTGCAGGAAGACCGGGAAGGTACTTTCACTTTGCTGCTCTGATGCGTTAAAAAATGCTAAGACCTGACAGATGAATATTTTTTAAAACTTAGTTGCACTTTAAAAATTAACCTACAGTGATTGTGAGTTCTGGTTCTTCGGTGAAATATATTATTTCTGGGCCCGAACTTGAATTTGAAGCACTGACGCATTTATTTTCTTTGTTGACAGAAGTGCTCGGCCAAGGGAAGTGTTTGACCTCTGACCTCTTCAGCCACAACCACAGCATCGGGTCATTGCAATTCAGGGAGGAGATGAAGTATTGAACAAATTAAAAAAATGAATCTTTATATTGAAATTAATTACTTCTTATATTTAACTCCTTTTTCTAAAAGTCTTATGTTACAAGATTTTTGTTTGAGTGGCGACATTTTTCAGATTTTCGGGGCATTTTTGTTTTGGAAAACAAGGAACGTGGAAGAAGCGTGAAAGAGTGAGCATGTAGCTCGTTAAACTGTGAACTACTCAGGCAGCTGCAGTTTGTTTGAATGGATTCAATTGATTGTTGAACATTTTCAGAATAAAAAGAGTTTCCTGCTAATCCTGACGACGTCTCGTTCTTCGCTGACGACACTCTTCCCTCCGTTGGGAGTGAAAGCAAAGTAAATAAACTTTTATTTTTCTGTTTGGTTTCTTTGAATCTCTCGTTGAGGTCTGTCATTTATTCATTTTTCACTTTACGTCGTCAAATCATAATGTCAACAGAAGCTTTGTGAAGTGTGTTGAGGACAAAAGACACAGGAGCCGTGCAGGTCTGTGATCACGTGAGCACTTTGTTATTGAACATCCACAGTAGTTTGATAAGGTCGTACACATCATATATCCTGGACACAGAGAGGAGAGCAGTGTCGCCGATGCTGAAGGTATTTACAGAGCGAGGCAGAGAGAAACCAGACGACTCACAACTCATCATCAAACGCCAAATCAAAAGCAAATCTGTCTTCGCCTCCTCGTCTCTCTGGTGTCATCACTACGACGTGATGGTTTCTTTCTGTCCCACGTGACGTCACCACCGCCGCGTCAACTCGTTATTCCGGTCCGCAGGTTGTTAGCACTGAAACTAAAGCTTATACTTGCTTCCTGTATGAAACAGAAAATGCATTAATAACATTTACACATATAGATCTATGGCAGAAATTAACCGCTGAAGGGTTTAAATATATTTACACTTCAGCAGGAATTAAATATTAAATCATTTTGGTGAAATTCAATGTTAAAAA